ATGTTGACTATTGGAAGTTCAAACCTCGGTTCAAACTCATGTGCTTTCCGTAGGGAATCATAGAGTCCATACTCTCAACATCAAATTTCCCCAAAAAACAATTAGGTATCTAATAATGCAGCAGTACCATTGTAGCCTTGGACTACAAAACCTTATACAATTGTATATTCGGGGATAATACCACGAGAGCTTAAAAATTATCTGGTTCATTTTGAAGCTCAAGTGGTATTTAGAGGATTATTTCACGTATGAGAATGCAAAAAATATGGAAATAAATATGTATTAAACGATTTGAACATCTTAACAATCAATACAAATAAATGGTTGCTATCAGGAACCGTTTGTTTGTATCAAAAATTAGCATGACAACCATGTATGCAATAACATGGGAGAATTATCGCTGTAATTCTCTCTAGTTAAACAAATGGAAAAGAGAATTTTCGCTGTAATTCTGAAAATTGTCACTTGTCTTATGGGATTTTTAACACATGAGTGGAATAATCAGATAAATAGTAGAGCTCATCCTCTATCAACGAATGTTCTGGTAGAAGTAGGTACAAAGGAATAGGATAGCATATTTAAATCATTTAACAGAATTACCAGTTCATCTGCTTTATTGCTTAATGCTTGTCAAAATGAATGTTTAGTAAAAATAGGGAAAACAAATTTTCAGTTTCACAATTACATACATACTACATACTTTCATTACTTTCAATGAAATTTAAAATATTTTCGTTGTAATTAGAAAAAAATTCTTTGTGAAACACTAGGTAAAAATTTACCGTGAATGAAATGTGCCTCTACGAATTTGATCAATAAACCGATTAAAGACCACTCGGTTTCTCCAAAGTGGCATTGAAAGAAATATCAAATTTGTGATCTTACATATTAAAGACAAACAACTATATAAGACTTCACTTATTTTTCAAAGAAGCATTTAAGTAGCATTATATTAGCACTTTACTATTTCAACTTTTGTTCTGCTGACTTTTCTCTGCTAGCTTCATGGAAAGGTGAGTCAAAAAAAAAACTACTAAATTTTAAGGGCACTCACCGTTTATATTAAGCCATCTGTCATGTCGATCCAACTAGATTTTTGAGACATGATTAATAATCTTTAAGAAATTTATGGAACGATTTAGCAATAACAAACAAATATAAAACTTTATTCATTTCGAAAATATCAGAAAACTGAGAATAGTTGCCTAAATATAGCTTTGAGATACAGATACACTTGAAAAACATTATTTAATATTAAGTTGTTCATTCATAGCTGAATAATTTGAACTAAACACAGTTTGAACTAAACATATTAGAGGTATATCGGTCCATCAAATGATGGGATGATGCAGTCATGATTACTTAACTTTTGATGGCAGAAAGCCAAATGCATTTAATAAAAATTATAAAAATTGTCGGAACAGACATTAATTTTCATATATTTTTTGACACTTTTGAACAAATCTTTTTGCACATTACAAATTTATTTTTAATGTTTCTTTGATATTACCTATGTGTTTTCATCTGAAGCTTTTCGAATACCTACTAATAGTGATTTATAATCTAGTATTACATTAACTCGAATGGTTTTTTTAGAGATTTAAAATGTAGAATCTATTATCCGTTCACAATCCGATGTCCACAGGTACAGGTACAATTTATCACCTTTCAATGCTATTTGATAGGGAAAGGCGATAGATTTACCTGCACCTGTGGACATCGGATTGTGAACAGGATATAGATTGTTGTCTAGATCATAAAAAAGGATGTATAGTAATATTTTGTAGAACTTTCATGTAAATAATATGGAATATCAAATTTACTCAAACCGAGTTTAATTTTCATAATCTACAAACGTGCGGTAACTAATGGACAGCGTACGATTTTGTGTGCGGTAAGTACCATATTACTGCACAGCGTGCTCTGATATTATTACCGCACACTGTACAATTACCTACTCACTTATCACCTAGATTCTTTTCTTCCACTGTCAAACGTGACAGAAAGCCAGGGACGCAATTTTATTTTTTATAATTTTTTAATATTTTGTATAATATACATACATATAACCACACGGTTGTAGATAAGATACTGTATATAATATGTATGGCTCGACGTATGGTAATTAGGTTACTTATTAGTTATTACTACCCTCAAGTGATTCCAAATCTCGCCTCTCCGGCTCGGTTTGCAAATTTATGTATTATAACCTAGTTACCACAGTTATTATACAGTCCAAGACTCGGTCCAAGATAAGGATTTCTTATGTCTATAATGTGGATCTCATAAACGGTAACAGATACGGCAATAATTAAATGGGAAAAAAGTTACGCTATTAAATGACTAACAAAATGTATCTAAGAAATTTACAGGAGATATTCGAAAAAAACGAAATTTTCCACAATCGTTTTTATTTTTTTCTGCCTTTATTTTAATAAGTATTAGAAAACTACCATTACTTTATTGGGGCTACTTTTTATGCCTTACAAGATAGCATAATTATATTTAAGATCTTACGTTTCGTTTGCAGGTTACCATCATCAACTTAAATTTTTTAGATACTGTCCTGTTCTACAAATTACAGTTTTTTTAAGGTTTTCTACATCTCTTTGCGACAATATATCAGCTGTGATGATTTAATTATATTTATTTATTCAAAACTTTGTTTACAAACACCAAGTTGGTTATTAATTAAATATAAACCACACTTACAAACTAGGTACATAAAACTAGCGAGAAACAGATTCTAGTGAAAATCTTTCTTCAGGTACTAGGCCTTCTGTTCCAAACAAACAAGATTAGAAGACATGAGCAAGATAAATAAACAGACACTGTAATGATCAATGATTACCTATGTTGAGGCAATTTATAAGTAGTTAGTTTTAGTGGACTATTGAACATGTTAATGTCCTTCTCCAATAGAAATTCACTACAAATATGTAGCATGTTACTTATAGGAGATATACTTTTTCTCTTATGTGCAAAGACGTCCTTATTTAGAATTCTCGCAGATCCACTTTTGATACTTTAAATTTAATAAATTCTATGAGATTGAACTCTCTGTACTCTAAATTATTTAGAACAGAATAAATAAATATAACAGCCCGTGCTCTTCTTCTACTCTCCAATGTTTGGAATCTATTTTATTTCTTTGAATAGACAGAAAAAAACAACAATTTCTAAAAATTCCGGTTTTTCATGAATATATCCAGAAGTTGTCAGTTTTTTTTCAAATTTTTTGCATGCATGCATATGGTTAGTCATTAAATAGTGCAACTCTTTTCCCATTTAACCATTGCCGTATCTGTTACAGTTTATGAGATCCCCATGATAGACATCCTCATCTTGGACACCCTATACTATTGAAAGGTTTGTAGCCTAAATTTAGTTTCAATAATTAATTAACATATATGACTTCTAAATTTAGTTTCAATAACTTGACATATACGTATGACTTGGTGCTTACCTCGTGCTTACAAATTAACCATTTTCTGGCTTAACTACAAGAAAAGGAACCGAATTGTATGTACAATTTGACATACAACTAAGCTAGTGGAGAAACAACTCATTTTAGCTAAGAAACCAACATTAACTTTCGTTTAAAGGATCGAACCGAAAATATATTCACAAATTATACACAATCGATTTTCCTGATGTTATTGATATAAATAGAATTTTCAAAAAATTATAGTAACCTTTGCAGAAACCAGAGAAAGCCAACTAATAAATGTTGACAGACTTAACGGCTCATTGGTAGTTGACCAGGCTAAGAGAGAAAGATAATATGAATGTGTGTAAAACATTGGATTGAAAGAAAGATAATTAATAACCTCAGCTGAACAACTTAAATACAATATTCTAAGCAACATCATCTAATCACAAACAAAATCTGAACATGAAAACTTTCTAATATTGAAGCAAACATAGATGCAGATACAACAGCTTTCTGGTCGTTTATCAAAAATAAAAAAGATCAAAATGAATCTAATTCAGATTTCACACTAAGCGAGACAGGAACAATATTGTAAATTTTGGATTTTATTCTCGATTTTATGCCTGTTGACATGTCTCATGTTCCGAGAATGAGGATTTCTACTAAAAATAATTTTATTATATAAATATGATGGCATTTTATTCAAAATAATCTTGTGAAAAAAGCAATTGCGTTTCAATATAAATAGGTTACATTTTTTTTCTGTAACTGTACGGAACTTTATTGTAGGTACCCAGAAAATCTATAAGACACCAGACCACTACCCAAATTTATTTAGAACATTATTGTTCAAGACCTTAACTTGTCAAAACGTTGTTTTCAAACCCATCAAAGGATGTGTTTCCAGTGTTAGCAAGTGGAAGCGATTTTTTACATCAATGATTCATCCAATTTTAAAATAATCAAGGCAGAAGAAAAGTCATTGGACTCGAAAAGAAGCATTGGGTTCACAAAACTTGAAATTTCTGTTAGCTGAGGCCATGACAAAAGATGATGAGGAAGGACTAGAAGTGACTTCCAAACAATCATGACAGAGAAAGATTAAAGAGCATACTTTAATGGTTTAGTTCCAGTTACTAGTTTATAATACTAGTTTAACATTTCAGCTAAAAGCCTTGCTAAAAAGTTAGTGTCACCAATACCAATACAAAGATCAATAATAATTGAACTTTAATTTAGTGTTAAAAATATATATGTATTTCAATTATCAGAATGTAAACTTTATACAGTTCTATGATTATACCTATTTTAAGTTACGACAGCTTTCAAGTAACATTCCTTCATTGGGATATAACAAAAATTGGAAAACTTTCTCGAATATCGGCTTGCCTGCGTTTCAAATAGGCTGAAACAAAAAATTTCTCAGCAATTTCATCGAACGAGTTTTCTCCATTCATTTGTATTATTCTACGTTGTGGGGGACTGCGCAATGACGTTTTCGCTCTGTACCAGCGGGAGACACGAGAGAATATATCTAATCCTGTTAACCCACAGCCAGCCAGGCCAGCAGCCAGCAGCAGTCTCCTGCAGACGCGCGCTCGACCGGTCGGGCTTCGGTAAAAACCGTCAAAGCAGATGTAATACACAGTTATAGCTCTGATCATTAGTATTAATGAGAGAGAAGGTTAATACACCTTAACAAAGTGATGGTAAATTATGTGATTTCTTTTTGTCAATTTGAGGTGCGATAGATTGCGGAAATGACTTTTATGGCCAATAATAGTTGTAATAAAAATAGGGAGAGTGATGTGCATTTAGAGAATAGGACTATTAAACATGCATGGTAAGAGTGAGTTTGTCATTTACGAAGTCATCAATTCCACCTCAAAGTGTTATAATTAAAATTAGAAGAAAAAAAACTTAGGACACAAAGCATCTGTATTTTTCTTCCTTCAACTCAGTGAGTTAGTCCAGGTATAAAATATTTCTACACTTTTCTACACAGATTACTTCTCTGATTCATTTTGGGTTGAACCGAAACAGCTCTAAAATAAAAATAAAAATTGATTACGTTTTTTTTTATATAACTATTGCAGATGTTTCACTTTCCCATCAGATATGTTTGAGAAAAAAATTATTAATCTTTGATCGTAAATCACATATCATAAATAAACAATCAGCCACAGAAAATTTAGTAATGGTAGCAAGCGCATTTATTCTACCTTAATTTTATCTATTTTTTTCTGATGTAACGGTGGTTGTCAATTATTGTTGGTAGAACACAACCGTTATTATACGCAGCACAATAACATTTCACTTAACCAAAACCTTGATATAGATAGTGATTTTGCAGATGAAATTTTTAACAGCAAGGTTCGTGTGACAAATTCCGTGAGTCTACTACTTTCTTCACTCAAAACAACAACTCTCATTGAACTAAGTGATTTCACAAAATTCACTGATCACATGTTCCTGTCCACTAACATGCTGCCAGCCGCCTGCCAAATGAGCGTATTTTTTAAAAAATTTCAAATGTGGATGTTGAAGAGTATTTGTCGCATTTGTTTGGTTGCGTATCATGGAGTTGTATTGTGAGACTTTTGATTTGGAAACTTCTGTTTATAAAGTCCTGAATGAAAGGTCGAAACGTCGGCGAATTTGTAAATAAGGAAGTATTATTCCACATCGTCCTTAACTCAGAACTTCTCTCTACCATAATTAATACTTTGGAGGACACCATATCTTCACTTTATTCTTGAATTTATTATCTAGCCTTTTCAGGATTTCTTGAGTCTGGTTTGTTCTTCAAAGATTGCACATTAAATCAATTTTCGCTGAAATTTCAAATTTTCCTGAAGCCGATTCTGTTCTTGTTTTTCTTTCTGTCTTGAGGCTTCCTTTAATTGTCTTTTTTCTGTCTTTGGTCTTCTTGCCTTTTGTCTTTGATATTTTTGGAGAAGTGTCTCAACCTGTTTGTTGTGTATTTGCCAAAGACTACTATGTATATTTCTTAAAACTTGATAAAATATAAAGCTCACATTCCTTGTCTAAAATAGGACACGAGAACGATCCAATGTTCTAGAAAAATCAGTCCGGAGTTGTTTTTCTGTGTCAAACCCAGTAATAAAATCATTATTTCAGTTCAACAAAAGTTCACTCATTGTTCCCGCGTATTTGCTCAGTTCAAACTAATCCAATCTCGCCTTTAGCAATCACTTATCGCTTTAACGTATATTCAACAATTCTCCCATTTATATAAAAAAATATTCAGTCAAGAAGTTTCTAGAAACTTGATTCGTGATTCTAGAATCACGTCAAAAGTTTGTTAGGTACTACTAAATATTAGGATAATTTTACGGTAATGTGTTAATGAACACTTGTGTGTGTACGTACGCAAATATAAATATACTCAAAACTTCACACCCGATTCCATATACTCAGCGATTTTTATTCGTTTACTCAAGCTGATTTTTCACCATAGCACGTGTACCAACAGCCAGCTACACATGAGAAGCGTTCTTGTATCTCACTAAACATATTTATTTTTCAAACAAAACAAACTAAACTTTGTTCCACGAGAGTTTGTACTTTTGACATCATTTGCCTTCCTTTTTTAACAAATAGAAATTGACTGGAACAAATCAACGAAGTCAAAAACATTCGGGTGTCCCACCGGGGACCAAATCGATCTATATATTATGAAAAACTGTACTTATGTAGAAAATTTTTGAAAATTTTACAGTATACTAATGTCAGTGGCGGCAACCCGGCTAATGGCTCTTCTAGTTATACCGGAAGTATAGGTCAACTTGCTTATTTTAAATGAGACACCCTGTATTTGATTACATTTGGATTCTACGTAAAATTCTGAGCAGATCATGTGATATACTCTATACTCCACTGTTTTGGAAATATTGATAGTTGAAAATTCACTTCTTGCAACTTTGACAGGCTGTAAAACCTAAACGGTTAATTTAGAGGAAATCCTATTTTACATTCCTATCTTAGTTTTTCATAAACTATCATTTGATACCAACTTTGAATTTAGTCCATGATTAAAAATTTCAGTTGAATTCAATCACCGGTTAAATTCAAAGTTGGTGTCAAATGATAGTTTATAAAAATCTAAGACAGGAATGTATAATCGGTTTTCCTCTAAAATCAACCATTTAGGTTTTACAGCTTGTCAAAGTTGCAAAAAGCCAATTTTCAACTGTCAATATTTCCAAAACAAACTTAGGTAAAGGATATATCACATGAAATCTGCTCAGAACTTCACAAGGAATTCAAATATGCAATAACATACATTTAAAATAATTAAGTTGACGTCTACTTCCGGTATGTATAACCGGAAGTGCCACTATCTTGAAAATACTTTAACCTGGTCGCCCCCATTGACATTAGTATACTGTCAAATTTTCAAAAAATTTCTGCATACAGTTTTTCATATAAAGGGTGTTCATTTTAATTTTAAAACCTACCACCCCTATTATCTAAGAGTTGAAAATTTTTAGAAAAAATTGCTGAAACACTGCAACTATAATTTGAGGAGGGATGAGTTTTTATGCAAAATTCACCTCCCCCCTTTCAACCCCCCAGCCTCCAGAGCCACCCACTAGAAAATCTTAAATGGGAAGGGGGGTCAAGTTATACATCATTTTGAAGGGTTTTTAATTCCATACATTTTGGTACTAAATTTTAATCTTCAAGTTCAACAGTTTTGGAAATATTGACAGTTGAAAATTGACTTTCTTGCAATTTTGACAGGCTGTAAAACCTAAACGGTTAATTTTACTGGAAAACCGATTTTACATTTTTGTCTTAGATTTTTATAAACTCATTTACCAGCAACTTGACCAGCAACTTTGAATTTAATCCATGATCAAAAATTCCAATTAAAAATTTCCAATTAAATTCAAAGTTTGTGTCAAATGATAGTTTATGAAAGATCGGTTTTCCTCGAAAATTAACGGTTCAGGTTTTACAGCCTGTCAAAGTAGAAAAAAAGCCAATTTTCAACTGTCAATATTTCCAAAACAGTTGAATTTAGACATCTCTTAAGCTAGATGAGCAAAGTCAGAGATAATAGGGGTGGTAAGTTTTAAAATAAACACCCTGTATAAATCGATTTGGTTTCCGGTAGGACACCCTGTATAGGTTGCATCCAATGAGCGGTTTTCCCATGTGTCTGCATTTGTTTTTCCACCCCTTATGCGCTTGTTCTAAGTATATTTTAAAAATTGTTGGTGATATGCAGCAGCCCAGTTCAAGTCTTTTACTTGCTGTAAAGCCTTTGCTGATTATGCTAGTAAAAGGTAAAAAGTATAAATGCCGTTCATATTAGTTAGGCCTCATATCACTGACACAATGAGAGAAATTATTTAATTAAAGAAAAAGGCATTCAATAAACTCAAACATACTGGACTTATTGCACATAAAAACTACTATCTGGATTTGAAGAAATACCTTTCGTTTGCAATTCAAAGTGAGAAACAAGCCTTTATGTCATTTGAACTAAAAAAATCGCGAAAAAGCCTAAAAAAGGTGTGATCGAAAATCAATAGCTGGAACATTGACTCCAAAGGTAATAATGACATACTTGAAATTAAAGAAAAATGCGCAGACCAACATTTTGAGTCCATAATATAAATTTGAAAAGGAAGGTGTACGTAGAATTCTGCCATTTATTCCCCGACTTTCTTGGAGATGAGGAAAAGTTTCACAAATATTTTAGAATGTTTAAAGAGAAGTTATATGAGGTTTTGAAGATACTACCGCTCCAGAAGCAGGATACAAACTCACAGTAAAAACCGAAACATCCCAAGCGCTAAAGTCGCTACACTAAATTTCACACAAAAATGGTCCTTGGCTGTCGGAGCATTCGGCAGTTTTTGCCCCTCGAAGCAATCTCCGTTGTTGCCGCGTCGAGTCGAGTGCGTCGAGTCGACGAGTCCGATGCCGTGCGCGGAGCCTCATTTAATTTCATGAGTATCAAAAACTGCCGAATGCTCTTCGCCGAGTCGACCGGTCCGAGTCGATTCAGTGCGCGTCCTGCTTTACGCAGCAACACCACGACTCCGAAGGAGTAGTGGTGTTGCTGGTAACGCGATGAGCAAAAATGGGTTATTAAGTATGGTTTCTCTGATCGAGTATGCCAGTGGTTTTCGAGCTATCTTGAATGAAGAACACAAATGATCGAACTGGGCGGAGCTAGGTCAAATTCGGTAACAATGAGATGTGGAGGTCCTCAAGGAAGCGTTTTGGGACCCCTACCATTCAACCTGTATACTAGTGACCTCCCAAATCAAGTACAATTTTGTGTTATGCATCTTCATGCGGATGATACACAACTCCTGGTAGGTTTTTCCCTGGAAGAGGCTTGTGTTGCTCTGAATAGGGTTACTGCTGACCTAAATTTAGTTTATATGTATATGGTCTAAAAGTCTAAAAACCATGATCTAGTGCCTAATGCGAATAAAAGTAACTATCTCATTATAGGGTCAGATATCACTAGAAGTCGTTTCTACAGTCACAACTTTATTACATTACTTGTTGATAACTCCTTGTTGCCCTGTGTAGAATCTGTCAGAAATTTAGTTGTTATGTTTGATAAGCAACTTGATTTCTAGGCGCATGTAAGAATGAAACTATCTGCTATTTATATTAAATTGAAAAGCTTGTATGCCTTCAAGTATCTGGTACCTGCCAAAATTAAGTTAATATTTATAGAGACCTTAGATAGAGACCCTCATCTATCCTCAATTAGATTGTTGTTGTGTTGTGTACTCGGTTGTGTATTACAATTATCTAACTTAGAATTTAAGGAAAAAATTCAACTAGCCCAAAATGCATGTGTACGATTCACAAATTCGATCATATTACACCTACATGTATTGTTAACGATATAATAAAATACGAAAACCGAGTTAATCTATTTCTAGCAGGACTTCTAGAGATACTTGGGTAAAAATTTTGAAAAAGTCAATGCCCAGTGTATTTGTTGTGTTATATGTATAGTGGCCAGAAAAGATTTTTACAATCTGAATCTTAGGAATATACCTAGTTAGATATGAATAACCCCGGCACCGTACCACTAAATTCAGAAATTGTTTTGCCTTTCGAGCTACAGCATTGCTAAACTCTGAAATGTACAATTTGAAAATAGGAAATTCTCTATACAATACTTTCAGAAATAAATATAAATTTTATCTTGTTCAACAAATGTAATAAATAGGTAGTCTATTGTTGTGATAATTGTACAATATTTTAGTTCTAAGCTCTTTCAGGTGGCATGGAAGAACGCCTTGCGAATGCTACCTTTTGTGTAATCCCTGTTATATTACATAATAAACGTTGTTCTATTAGACCCTGAGATAGAGCCTGTTTAGTGGAGTCATTTTTTTTTGTCTGGCATTTTGAGGGATGAATGTGGCTAGTTAACTGATGAGAATATAGGTAGTTTTAATAGCTGCCACCTGTTCGAAATGTCCACAGAATGTTTCGCCGGAAAACTCGACTTCGAACTGGGATTACCGTCTGGCGATTTTTCAGCGATATTTTTACAATAAAATCTTCCATTCTCTCGATTACCAGACAAAAAGTAAACGCGGAAGGTTCTTTTTTTTTCTCTTGGAAGTTGACACTCATCCCCACTTTTTCAGCTATTGAAAAGCATCTGGTATTTTTTATGGGTGAATTATTTATCAATGTCAATGTTTTATTTAGAAGCCAAAAAATTTGAGATCATTAAAAAAAAAATTCTCATGTAAATCAATTTTTTTCTTCTGCAAATTTTCGAACGAGAGGCAGGCATTAAAATCACCCATATTCTCATCAGCTTAGTAGCCACATTCAGCCCTCAAAATGCCAGACAAAAAAAAATGACTCCACTAAACAGCCCCTATCTCACAATCTATATTCTATTCTATTCTATTCTGATTTTGATAAAGGTTTTTGATATAAGAACACGGTCTTCTAATGAAATTATGGCAGAAACCTTGTAAGATTTGATTTTTCAATACAAGAAGCAATAGCTACTTGAGCTTATGGAAAAGTTTCATCAAGAAATAAGAAATTATCTGTCACTTGAACATGTTTTTTTTTGAACCTGCAATTCAAGTCAGCATAGACTCGAGGAAATTTTAATGCTGCTCGCTGATCTTCACTATTCCAAATACATTGAGCCACCAGATTATTTAAGATGGATAATTATTATTTTTCAATATCTCAGATAATTCATAAAACAGCATATTTTGTTTATTCTATTACAAAATTAGCACAGAAATTTCAATTTTATGGATTACATTTATCGTCTTTCTCACAAGGAGGGACCCAAGCGTGAATTTTCGGCATTGTAGTCGAATACGGCATATACTGCCCTGGGGTCCCAGTGAAATTTTCTGTATGTTCCAACATCCATTTATAGTTAGGACTGGGACGTCCTGGATCGCACTCAGGAATGTAGTCAGTTTTGTAATGTAACCATCCGAACCAGGATGCTGGAACTTGACTACCATCGTAGTCTAGGAAGACGTTTCTAGCATATTCAACCTGGAATAGGATTCAAGAATATATTTCTGCGTTACATCAGGCCCGAACTAACCCATCGACTCCTTCCAACAAAAAAACCTTTATTCTCGTAATATTTGTTACCATATTCGTCAATCCCCATACATGTTCCAGGTTTGAGACTATCCATGACGAATAACTTGTAAAGGGAAGCTATGTAACCTCCATGAAATTTTACGGTTTTCATAAAGTTTGGGACACAATTTAAGTTGAAAAGCTTGACGATTGACATTGTAAATTATTTTTATGTGCAATAAAAATTAAAACTTTATGATGTGATGATGGGTTTGTCAACTTGACTGATCTTTCAATAAACAGGATTATGTTATTGTGTTTCCTTGGCATTATAGGTACTGACCAGCTATGCTGACCAGGAAGTTCTCATTGTGCATTCATTCTACAGGAGAGTATAAAATTTCAAGTTTCTTATTTGTCATTGGAATAATCTATTTTTGAGTTCAGTTACCTAACGCAAAAATACTTTTCTATTTGAAGTATACCCAAAAATAGCTCGCTCACTAATCCTGAAGGATTTAATCATAACTTGAAAAATAAGTATTCTCTGGAAAAGTGACAAATTAATGATGAGCTGGAATTTCAGAGAGTTTTGAAAACCGACACACTGGGCAATGCTTAGCTATCGTCTTAAAAATAATACCTATCTGAATGCAAAGCTTTGTGCTACATATCGAAAGCTCCAGGTCAAATTGATATGGCTATTATTTCGCAATTTTATCGTTCAGATAATAGAACGTCGTAGGTTGGCGGCTAATTTATCATTTCCTTGTTTAATTGCAAATTTGCTACATGGAGTTTTTATTCTGTATTAGCTGGCGAAAAAAAAAACATTGTAATTTATTTGTTGTGCTTCTCAAGGTTTTTATTGTATCAGAGGAGCAAGCCGTTCCATGTGCACAAAATTTAATTTAGGACTTGAAAATAGTAAAACACTGGACAGATACATAAATCAGCCCTGTTGGATACCAATTTTTCAACTTATGCTCATGCTGCATAAATTTTTCTTTTTTTTCATTGATGTGCTATTTTTAATTGACTGAATTAGCAAACACAAACAAAACGTTTCTTTTTTTTTTAAATTATCATTATCTCATGACAACCTTGTAATTATAACCATTTGCACGTGATTAATTTAAATAATCTAAAAAAATTAACAAATACGTACATCCATGTAATTACACATTTCCGAGCATAATATGCATAGACATTTAGAAATAAACGTACAGCTTGCTGCAAGCTTACAAATTAAATGCATTAATTAAAATTAAAACTATAAAACAAACGGCTATAGTTCACAGCCAAACAATAACGCATGGAGGTTCATTTATTTACCTCGAGATTGCTAACTTTCCATTTGAATTTCAATCGATACACTTTAAGTTAATTAGTGAGGTAAAAGTTCATAGATAGAACATAGTCTTTGTTGAGATTATCATTATGTACATATTTGTATTTGGAAATTGCTAATTAGCAGAGACCAATTTATTACTGAAAAGGATTCAAATAAATCCTTTGTTCTAGAAATATCTAAGTCAGCAGGTTTAACACATAAGAAACTTGAATAATTCTGTCCTATTTTTTTCCTAATATTTACAGAGAAATCAATAAAGGTGCGAAGTAGTAAGAGTGTTTTCCCTCTCGTTTTCCTGAAGAAAGATTAATATTTATTTAATTTCCTAATTGTTTTTCATATCAAAGGCTATTTTAGGGTCAAGACCAACTACCAACTAGGTGCAAGTTATTACTTTTCTAATTGTGATATAATAATACACCAAAAAATATTTAGGGTTATAATAATGTGTTACTTCTATAATAATATGTAGGTATATTGTACTGTACATGGTTCTTGCGTCATCTTTTAAAATCGATAAACCACCCTGAGCTGAATATTAAGAAGTTCGAATATAGAATCCTTAATAATTTATCAAAATCTATTTAAAGAAATCCGTTACCGAAAATAATTCGGTGATTTAAATATTTTATTAGAAATTACGCATTTCAAGGTAGGTGAACCATATCCCTAAATGGTTTATTCATCTGGCTATTCATTAATTTCAATTTCTAGAAGTACAAAATTTGTATAAAACAAAATTAATTTTATTGATAGAAACTTTTTGTTCCAAATGTATTTCCATGTGCTTTTTTTTATTGAAAAATCAACAGAAATTATTGTCCTTAACGCCTTCCAACCACATATTTCGCAATTTTTCACTTCTATCTGATGAAAATTTTCCCAACGTATTCCTAATAAATGTGTTGAAAGTTGATATGGTCCTGAATTATTGGTCTTAGAGATCCAAGATCCTTCCAGAAACTTATTTTTAGTCGATAGTCTTGTAACTCTTGTGCTAGGGAAAAATTGAAACCCTCGCTGAAATCAGTTTTAGCAGTGCAACGTGCAACAAAATATTGATTTACTAAACTTAGAAGCTGTAGGAAAGTCCGACAAATACCATTTTAAAGTCACGTGATTTTTCTTTATCCTTGTTCAATACATCTTAAACAGCGATTATAAATAGAATCCGTCACTGTCATCAATTAGTTTGTCAAAGTTATTTTCGAAAATGATACAACGAACAAACACAGTTAATAATTTTGACTATATTAGCCTTTTCCCAACTTGAAAAGAAGCTAATAGAAAACGAGTACCCAATTCAAGCTCAGAATGTATTACAACGAACAGCAGATGCGACAAAAAAGAGTCTCGCAACAATTGCAAGTATGAAAATTCCCATCTGATTGGTCAATACTACATACTTCAGAAACGCGTTTGTAAAATGCTAGTCGGAACTTATCCTAAAATTCAATAGTAATTGACCACCAGTAGCTTTTTGTAGGTGATATCCACAACTTAATCAATGAACATACGTTTTTTGCCACCAATATCACGTGACTTTAAAATGGTATTTGTTGGAGTTTAGCCTATGAATAGATGAATATAAAAATCTTAATCCATAAAAAGGGTTGTAGATTTTGGAGCAAAACAACGAGATTATGTGGTAAATTAAATTCATTCCAATTTGTTGTGTTATTCACCCCAATTATTTTTTTACAACACAATGAAAATATGTTTTGCAGTTTTAATTTAACGACAAGACAAAAGTTTCGTACCTAATTGTTCTAATTAGCTAATTAAAAAAATTAAGCGATTACAGGATATGAACCACTTTATGAGAACAAATTATATACAGTTATAAAGTGCAATTTTGTTTTGTAGTCTGTCTAGACTTGTATACTTTTGTTTATTACATTTTTTGAATAAACCTATGTATGTTCAAAATAATAGTATCTAGAACCAACCCAATTAGCTCAATTAATTCAATAATTGACCTTAATCATTTTTAAACTGAGATATTATCCAAATTAGGAACAAGGAACATATTTATACCAGCTTATCAGTTACTTAAGTGGATGAGAAATTACCAAAACAGCTTCTTAATCAATGACAAAATAAAGTATCGACCATATCACATTAGCAATAAAGATAAAAAGTACGAATGCCTAAGCCAGTCTTGATTACCATTTTCTTCAAATCGGTTGTTGATATTCAGTGAACTAACAAATTTGAATTTTTTTACAGGCCTAACGAAGTGTCCACTAGACTGAAGGGAGAGGGCCCTGGCCGCAAACTCCTCTGCCCCTCGCCCATATCTCGATTGCGAGTGGAAAAAATCGAAGGGGGCCTCATGGTTGCTGGGGTTGTTGTAGCGGCGAACTGTCAAATTATCCTACCTATTTTCGGATTTTTGTTTTTGCTGGTGGGATGCGTTTTAACTGGTAAGGACCAATCAGATTCTTAAGAGTAATATTAGCAGTATTTGGGATATGTACCAAACGCTCAAACTTTAACATTCACCTAGTTTTAGAGATACATAGCAATCTTATGAATAGTCTTTAGAATAGAGAGAAACTATAAGGAGCAAAGTCTTTTTTTTAACTTAATTCATAATCAAATAACTTTCATACAGAACCATTAGCATCAAGCGCAACATAGTTATTTTTCTTTTGGGAAGCTGGCGGAAAAGTCTCTCAAGCTAGGTCCAGCTACTCTGCTATATAGGTATAGTCTGTCTTAAAATTAGATATAAAAGTCAAAACGACATTCTTTTGCTACTTCATGTTAAATTCATTTCTAAATAGTTCTCATAATAATAATTGGCAGGTATAGTCTAATTTTAATCATATTTAGTAGGTAATTTTTTTAGTAACAAATATTCATGGTTTCCAATTCACCAACTTCAAAAACTGGTTATTACCAGTCTTTCCCCTAAAATCACGACTCGGGGATTTATATAGTCAACTAGCTGACCCAGCGAACTTCGTACCGCCTCTGAATTATTAAATACCTACCTATTAAATGTTGTGTTAACGTATTTATTAGCTGAATTAAATTCAGTTTTTTTTCGATGATGAATTTGGCTTTGGTTGATGAAAATTAATGTTTACTCTCTGGATCAGATCAGAAGTCACCTAAAATTAAAATTTTACATCATCCCTTTTTAGACAGCTTGTGGGCATTATTCTTGTAAAGTGTACCACCAAATAAATAAACTCAGGCACAGGAATGTTCAAAGAATGTAAAGAAAACAAAAAAAATCTCCAGCGCAGCCCTGTTTCACTCTATCTGCACTGCATGCACTGCACTACTCCATCTGTTCTACTCTATTTGCACTACTCTATCTGATTTACTCTTTCTGCACCACTCTATCTGATCGGAATAGTTCTGTTCGGAATAGCTCCAGTTCCTGAGCAGCATTGTTCTACTGTATCCGCAATCAAATTACCACGCAACGGCGAGCTTCGTTCTAGGTATCAGAGATGGCGCCGTATACAAAATGGTTTGCAATGAAAATGTGGTGGTAAACTTAGTATCGGTTATAAGAGATGGCGCAGTATGTGGGCTTAGTGAATTTTTTTCATAAATAAGTAAAAAAGGTAATTTGGTTTTCTGTTATTTTTTTGGGATTTTATTATGTTATAAGGAACAAAGTGTTAGAACTAGTGAGGACATAAAGTCCGTCGCCCCCCCCCCCCTCTAACTTCTGAACCGCTCGGTATATTGCAACGAAATTTGAAATGATGATATGAGGCCAAATTCTCCATCTCCTGGAAAACAAATGACAGCATTAACTATCAAAATGACAGCTGAGCGCAGTTCTGACACATTTTTTTAAAATAGAAGGCGGGGTCGAGTGATAGATCGTTTTAAAGATCCCTTTATTCTCAATTTAAGCCCCGATTCTGAAAACATTTGGTTCACTTATGGTCATTTGCACCGACCATTTTGAGGAAGGTTTAACGATAATCAACGTTTAAAAGTGACACTTTTGCATGTGAAAACGTCACTTTAAACGTTGATTATCATTAAACCTCCCTTAAAATGTTCGGTGCAAATGGCCATTAGTGGTTTTCAAATGATGGCGAAACAAAAAAGGTTTGTTTTGGTCATAAACATTTTTTTTTTTAGTAATTGACACATTATTTTATGAGTACTTTTGTTGTTTTTTTAAGTTACCAATGTCACTACGTCATTATTATTACTGAAAAAAAAACAATAATGAGTAAAAAACTGAAAAAAAAAAATTCATTTTCTACTTAACTATTAGGTATAGATCCATAATCTAGGAAACGAAATACGTTAACATACCTATAACAACCTGATCCATAACGCCCGCTTTGTAGTTTTATTAATTTGGACTTTTGTTAATAATAAATTGATGAAAGAACATTGTGTTGAGTAGAAAATAAAGCATTGTATGCACCACGGGGACTTTAAGAATATAATGCCCTCCAGGCGAAATATATCCCTCTGGCCAGAGGCCCTCGGACTAGTTTCGCCTTCGGGCATTATAATCTACATAATCCCCTTGGTACATAAATAGCTATTTGATTTTTTTTTATGAGTGTTTATGAGCAAAACAAGCCTTTGTTTTTTCGTCATCATTCGAAAACCGCTAAACCAAATGTTTTCAGAATCGGGGATTAAATTAAGAATAAAGAGACCTTTAAAACGATATATCACTCACACCGCCTTCTATGCTTATACAGAAATTAATTATAAACAAAGTTATGAAGCTTTCATGGTATTGCACAAAGTTGAGTAACGTCCTCTAAACTATTCAAGATATCAAAATGCGGTTTACACCAATGAAGATTTCATGTCTGTATCTCATACTCAGAAATTGATGTTTCCTATTAAAAGTGTCCAAATTGGCCGATCCTGTATATCGCCCGCGTCAGACCGTCGTTGTAGGCGGAGCTGAGAGATTTTCTGATCTCAAGTGATACTTTTACTGAACGAACACCATCTATTTCTTGGCGGAAAGTTCCAACTTCCGACTTCTCCACGCATACTTCTTCCATAGCATTTTTGAATCTATTATCTTACTATTCTTACCATTCCAGGATTTTCTTTAGCCTGGTTTGTTCCTCAGAGATTAAGTTTTCATTCCATTCTCGTTGAAATGTTCCTTAAGCCAGTCCTGCTCTTATTTTATTTTTTTACTTTTGTTCTGCTATCTTTTCGATGTAAAAGTGCTGCAAGCCGGTCTTTTTCTTTCTGTTTTCTGGCTTCCTCTTCTTATGTTTTTTTTTTCTGGCTTCGAGCTTCCTCCTTCTGCTCCATTTCCGTATATCTTTCTAGAAACGTGATTTAGACGTAAAGTATTGTGGTGATGTGAAAGTTCCCATACCTAGTCTAATTTTCAAATAGAATTACGGAATAAAAAAATGTTCTATAGATAACTCACCCAGTCGAGTGATTTTTCTATGTCCAAACCACTCAAATCAGCTCAAATTGTGAATTAATTTCTTTTTTTAGTTAGTTATTTTCAGTTAGGTATCGGTATCACTCCACCTACACCCACTACCTCAAATGAATTCACCAGCTATTCCGCTTATCTAATTATCCCACCTTCCACTTCTGATATGAAATTGTCACAAATTTTGCGGGTCCACCAAAACTCTTCACTAACAATAGCAAATTTTATTGAACTAATTGATTTTACAAAATTCACTACTACGTCCTAACTTTATACAATTCTTTAAACTGACTGCAACTTACAAACTACGCGCTATATATACAAAACCATGCAATCGAGAAATCTGTAGAATCCACGTAAATTCTGGTTTATTTTATTCACATATGAAATTCGCGCTTGGATCGTGAAAGTGACCTCTGCTTTCATTATCAATTTCACAATAAAAACTGGTGATACTATCGATGTATTTAGTTTCAATAGTATTTAGGAGTGTAGCTCTGAATAAGCAAATTATGAGAAACCCTATTCGGCCTATTCGAATGCTTTCTGAAGGTTAGATAAATTACGTCGATTGTCGATTCGCTAATTTCTTTTAAAACTGCGCTCTCATTTATCTAGGCCATTGTTATCATGAATCTCTTGTCCAATTGGCTCTACCCAAGCAGCACTCCCATGTTGGGCCAATATTGGGACAATAACTACGATTTATTGGCCCAAGTCAGATTTTCTATTTGGCCCAATAAAAGATTGGACATTCTGCAATATTTGTCCAAGAACGTATGTCAATATATACCCAAAAACAAATACCAACGTTGGTACAATAACGTAACCAAATGTTGGCCCAAAAAGAAATAATCAATATCATATAAAGAACTATATGCAATATAGAGCCAATTGAAATTACCAATGTTGGCCCCAAGACGTATGTAAATCTTGGCTTTATATTATATATTTAATTAAGAACGGACCAATTATAAGGACCGACTAAAGCCCGGGACACATCTATCATGCATTCTTCCGATCCGACTCCGATCATACAATCAGGGTCCTTATTCTTGGAACAGGGAACAGCGTTCCCAAGGAGAACGAGTGTTTCGCTCCGCTGCTCCCCTGGTTCAAGAATAAGGACCTTGATTGTATGATCGGAGTCGCATCCGAACAATGCATGGCTTAAGAAGTGTTTTTTCTCTGCCGGACCATCCGTGGACCCGTTTCGCAGTACCACAACTCATCAGCACGGTTAAGTCCCGCCAGGGTCCCGCAGAGAGAAAACAACCAATTTTTGGCTTCATCCTGGAACCAGGTTTAAGACAGGTAAAGTGAAGACAGAGTCTCCATCTATTTTTTGGTCGGCACACCAAGTGCGCACATTGAATACCCTATATTGGACCAACATTTTCAATTCAGAAAATCTAACCTTGGTAAAAATTAGTATGTAAATATTGGCCCTTCATTGGGCTTTTCAAAAAGTATCATTATTGTGAAAAAATTGAAAATAAATATTGGGTGTACAAAGTTTTTGAAGTGAATTTAAATATCAATAAAAAATTGAATGCCAATATTGAATTAATATTATATTACAATATTGTTTCGATAATATAAAATGTAATATTTGGCCAATATTTCACAAATCAATATTGTAGTGAGAAGTCTTGGGCCAATATTCAAATTACTGGAAAGTTAATTAATCTATGAAAACAATATTGGTACAAGATTATTTTTAAATATTGTTTCCACATAAGTAGTTGAAACTAACATTGCCCCAATATTGGTACTGTGTTGATTTAGCAACAAAAATGAATAAATATTGGCCCAACTGAAAAACGATGTTTACCCCATATTATGTGCTACTTGGGTAGTGGTCACTGGTCTCTTATAACCCTATTTTCCAGGTAAAATTGTGTTAACTCTTCAACTTGTTTTTTTTCCATACAATGGCATAAGTTACATTGCAGTTGAAGCTCAGTGGACAGTAATGGTTTGGAATAAATGTTTCTCTTTTTTTTAAGTCTACTA